CTGTCCTCTCCCTCTCTTTTTAAACAATTAATTGTGCCTTACCTTTATATTTAAACAGCGGTTGGGCATCTCCTTTTAAATATTTATAATATTTGCTTAAAAATATCAAATCTTTCTCTGGAAGGAGAAAAGAAGAGCTCATGAAACCATCAAAGTTAACTAGTCAGGCACAAGCACAGTTACTTAGAATCAAAAGGTTGTGATCTATTTCTCTTCAGTTGAAGATTGTATACACATGACAATACAATGAGCATGTTTACATGGCAACTGACCTAATATAAACTGCTTCTTCATCATTTAAGGCATGTAAGCAACATGACTGCAATTTACCCTTGTAGAATTTGAGAGCCCTACAGCTGGAATAAATAAAGTTAAGTATCTATAACTTCTGCTGGAAAGAGGCTTCCGGGAGCCATTTTTCTAAGTCATAAACGATAACAGTCAATGTCACTGATTATTCATCTGCCATCAGCATGTTCAGATAATGGGTTATGATAACTACTCCAATATCCATTGGCACTATGTGGGAAGTAGCCCATTTGTTGAAAGCTAGATTTTCTGAGAGTCACTCAGTGTTATATACATTTTTTGTCAAAGTCTCTATGAATTTACAAAGTTTTATCTTTAGATAAATATTCCTATTTTGTTTCTCTCTTCCTCACTTTTTTGGTCCTATTTGGATCCCAAAAGACAAATATGCACATTAAATCTTAAAGTAAAGCACCATATTCAGTTTTAAAATATATTAGCCAAATCCATATTGAAAACAACCTTTCCTTCCAGATAAATTGAGCGTTGAGTCTTCGGAGTCAACTTGTATGCCGCCTTGAGTCTTCGGAGAAAGGCTGCATACAAGTTGAACAAATAAATAAATAAATAAATTGAAAGAACACCTCACAGAGACTGTGAATTCTGGGACTGAGCTCATGTATCACATTAAGACAGAGTGGCTTTGGCTTAATGTGTTGTGTGAAGCCACCCAATTGTGATTTACACAACAAACCATAGTTAAACAAACCTCAGCTTAGGGTAAATGTTGAAACAAACAGTGATCCCAACACATGTGGATGGTAAGAGGTTGGAACAAAGTAGTTACAGCTAAAATATCCTCAAACCAATATCCTTTTCATATTTAACCATTTGTTCAGCAATATTCAGATTATCCTTCACAATTCATTGTCAGGCTTCAAAAGCAAATGTTGAATGTAATTGGGGGCTACTCCATCACAGGCAGTCAAGTCATCCCACACAATGCTTCCTTTCCATGTAATAGCCCAGCAACTAGAAAATCGTACTCTACCAAAGTTTGATTTAGTTGAAGAAACTGTCTCTGGCTGATCGTTAAAAGAGACTCTTCTGAATATGGTGGTGATTTGGGTGATGGTTATTGTTAAATTCTATATGTGAGCTATTTCCATACAGAATTGATTAGTACTTGTTTGGGAAACCACCATGAAATCCTGGCATAATTGAAACAACACCCCAGAAGGCAAGCTACTTTGGTATTGTTCCCAGAAAACAATATGTGTTCCTTAAATCATCAGGAATCAAATTTAGCTATAGGGTAATTTTTATATTTACTGTACATATACACAGAATACTATGCCATATCTTGGACATACAGGCAATGTTTTCTGCAGGAAGACTTAAACTAAAATCACAACTACATTCGCAAAAAGAGAATTAAAATGCAAGTGTCTTGATAATGAGCCATCACAAGAATCGTCCAGGACAGGAACAATGTGGTTTCTAAGGTTGGGATGAAAGTGTTTCTCCTGCAAAATCCTCTCCTTTCCTGAAAATCTGTCATCTTTCTCTGCGAGAGCTGCAGAACTAGAAATAGCTTTTATGTGTACTTTTATAGTACCAAGTGTCTTACCTTATTTTAGATATAGATGCATTGACCTTCAATTTCATAAGAAACTATTTATTTTATGAATACAGGCCTGCTACCATCAATTGAAAGGTAAATAAAGTACATTACTTAGAATGTACTTTATTTCTGTCAATTGTTATGTCCTTTCTGCAATTGTTATGTCATTAATAATTGGCAAGGTTATCTGTCTAGAAATCATGGAAGAAATTTGTACAACAAAAATATGTTCTTTTCTAAGTACAAACACCTTGATTTTCTATTTTTGTTGTCCTTATACTACAGCTAGAGAACAAATTTTGCATTTTGGTCTATAACATTCACTCAGAAAATAATACAATTTTACATAATCATATTTAGATACCATTTCTACATGCAGGTACTTATGCAGAGTAAATGTAATATACTGTACATGTTCAGGCTCCTGTAAACTGGAAATTCAGTTCCCTTTTAATTCTTAATCAGTTCCAATTCTTAATCAGTTCTTAATCATAGAGCAGTGATCAAGTGCTCTATTTGCAGGTTTTCAGTATCCTTACAAAGCGTACTAACTTACTATTTATCTTCAGGGAAGAAAAATCAAAACATGATTGGCAAAAAATCCCCATAAAAATAAAAACATATTAAGTAAAAAAATAAATATTACTAAAGTTTGCATTCTGTTAAAATCATTTTCACATCCAGGAATTCAAATGTTCCCTTTACAGTAAGAAACTGGGTTCTTTAACAAAACAACTCTGTCTTGCTGTTGTTGACAAAAAAAAAAAATGTTCTATATTCAATTTATACAAAGGCATTACTAAGATGCCTAAAACAACAGTAAGATGTTGTTCACCTTTATGTTGCTGAGAAAGCATGCTTTGCATCATTGGGCTGAACTTTAAAAAACTGACAACTTTCTTTACAAAAGAATGCAATAAAATTCTTGTCTGATTAGAAGTTGCCTCTACTTGAATCTTCCAGGAGGAAAAGATGCTGAATAGCAACTAGCTTTATGTCATCATTAAACTGATTTCTTCACAAACACTGTAGTGCTGAAGACAGTAGAAAGCACTACCCCAAAAATATTGCTAGTGAAAATAATTTTACTTTGAAAAAAAAATCAAGGAAAAAATATAGGTTAAGTTTTAAATTCAATGCAATTTAAAAGTTTTACAATGGTTGCTTCAGAAACAAAACCAAATATTTTATTGCAGATACTTGTAACTGGCAGATCAAATGAGGTAACAGATTTTTTTTTAAAAAAATCTTTTTTAAAAAATCTATTTTTAATTTTTTTCCCCCCTGATATTTGGAATACGAAGGATAGTGCAGTTTAAAACCTATTTGGGTGTTACAGATTGTAATCAAATACCCACAGACACTTATTCCAACTTTAGAATGATCCACATACAAAAATAAAACCTCATTTGAGTTGTGGAATAGGATTAGCCAGCTGTGGACAGGGATGTTAGAAGCTTGGAAAATAACTCCCGCTACATCTAATACAATTTTTTGAGGAAAATCATGCATAAAAGCAAGAAGAGGATCTGAGGTCAGGAAATAATAATGACACTGATGTATGTGATTTGAGAGGTAATAACATCATCAGGATTTGTATTTTGCTGACTATTGTGTAATGTAACTCATAAACGGAGCAACAGAATCAAGTTGAGCATTTTGTCTATATAGGAGCCACAGGCCCACAAGAGCTTTATGAATCCAGTATTTTCAAAAGAGACACAAACATCCGATCGCACACCCCGATCGTCCCCAAAAGTGATCTGCTCCCATTCCAAACAGCTTTAGAACGGAAAAGTCGAACTGTCGTGTGTGTGCGGTTCACTAGCGCGCGTGCTTTGGCGTGTTTTCACTTTCTGAATCGCTGCCACCGCTTTCCCTTATTTTTAAAAGCCAGCTTTTGCGAACCAACTCTCGCTAGGGAAGGGAAAAGGAAAACCCTTCGCGATGAGCAGTACTCGTCCAGGAGCACAAGAACGTAAACAGCCAACTCTCTCTCTCTCTCTCTCTCTCGTTCCACTGCAGCGTCTGGAAAAACGCGCGGGCGGGGATAGGCACCCCCGGGGCCTTTTGAGGAGAGGGGAAAAAACAACAACCACCGCCCCCTAGGAGGTCCCCGGGCGGGTGCCTTATAAAGAAAGCGGGCCCGGGTGCTTCCCCTGGATGGATCTTCCTTTCTTAAGCAATTTTTAAGAGCATTGCTACCGTCTTGCAGACTTCCCTCCCTGATTCTTCCCTCCCCCCCCCCTTTTTTTTTCTTTTTCCAGGGAGACTCTATTGTGGACGGCCAAGCAGAGCTCCAAGAGATGGGGGCCCAACTTCAACCAATTTAAAAAAAAAAAAAAAAAAAGCGGGTGCAGCCCGGAGATCATGCAACACCCTCTCCCCCCCCAAAAAAAGGCGCCTCATTGGCTTTCCCTCCGGGGAGGGGAGCAAAGGAAGACGGTGTTCTTGATCAAGGGAATCCCCTCTGCTTCCCCCCCCCCTCCCCGTTCTTTTCATTCATTGGGGAGGAAGGGTGAAGCTACTTGGACCGGGGGATCATCCCATAAAGGAAGGAAGGACGGAAGGAAGGAAGCAGGTATACAGGCTTTTCTCCTTCCAGATGGAGCACCGCTCCCGGGGGTACCGGGAGAACCACTGCTTTCTCCTTCCTTCTCGCGCGTCCCGCAGGAATATGAGGCAAAAGAGAGGAGGCAGCTGCTTGCCTCTTCGCGCTTCTCCTTCGTCTCGGGAGATTCTGGGCAGGGTAGCTGGGGGCGTGGCCTTTCGACTCCTCGTGGAGCGAAGATTTCGCCAGCCCAGCTGCTGATTGGTGGCTTTTCCCCCCCCCTCCTCCTTCTTCCAAAGAAACATGTCAGAGCTTTCATTCCCTGCTGCTACAAACTTGCCTAACGCTCCCTCCGCCCGGCCAACTGCGCCTGCTGGAAACAGGCACTCCAAGGGAAATTACAAGAGAACCTGAGAACCGGCCGCAACCTGACGCTTCCTCCCCGTTGATTGGACGAATGGCTTAGCTCCGCCTCTCAAGATGGAACGATTCGTTGTCCGGCGGCCGTGATTCCGCTTTCTCTTAGGTTGGCGTGGCCTGCCAGTCATTTTGAAGGACGGGCTGTTCTTTCTCCATTGGTCCTGCCCCTTTTTTCTTGCCTCCTCCTCCTCCTCCTCCCCCCCCCCGCGCCTATTGATATTATTGGAGTGTGGAGCGAAAGGTTCGGTCTGCAGTCGGAGACTCGCAGGCAGCAAATACGGAGAGCGAAAAAGCGAGCCGGGAAAAGCGAGAAAGGCAGTCCGCGAAGAGCTGCGTTGAAAGAGCACTGCACATTAAAACACATCGCAGCCGGAGCCAGCAGCAGCAGCAGCAGCAGCAGCCCGAGCCAGCCGCGGGAGCAAGCAGCAAACGCCAAGCGCAGTCTCTCTCTCTCTCTCTCTCTCTTTCTGAATGTATATGCATAATATCCTTAGCTTGATTTAAACATCTCCAGCTCACGCATCATGGTTTTTCAAACTAGGCTCCCTTCTTGGATTATTTTGTGTAACATCTGGCTGCTTCAGTTTGCACACACGGGGGAGGCACAGGCTGCAAAAGAAGGTAAGATGATGCTTGGCCACAAAGTTTATCGCTCCTTTTTCTCCCCCTTCTCCCGCTACGAGGGCTTTTTTTCGGGACCGTTCTCGAGATTTGCGACTTGCCTGCCGCTTCCCTTGGCTCCGTCCCGATGCCATCCAGGCGAAAAGGAGAGCGTGTCGGGCACCCCGTGTCGAGCGCCTCTCGCTTATGCCCTTTCCGTCACGAAGTGAAACCGACGTCCCCCCCCCATCCCCCTCAGGCATTTGATCAGGAAGGAGAGAGATCGGGATCGCGCCCCGATTGTGCTTTTTTGCATCCGAGACTACGGCGCATTTTCTGAACTGGGTTAGCTGCGCGAAGGGACCGCACGTGATGGAAAAAGGTCTGGGAAGGCTTTGAATCTCCATATATGCCAGTTAGCGAGGTTGGGGTGGGGGAGTGGGAGAAAAGGAGGGAGAGCGATGGTTAGGATTCTCGGATAGGTTCCTCTTACCAAGGTTAATTTTTATAGATCGGTAGATGAACCCTCTCAGCTCTCAAAACACATCTGGCTACCAGGCGATTACCTCCCGGCTTCCTACACCGCCGGAGTTCGGGATGGGAAGGGTATGAAGCGAGCGACCTGTTCCAGGACTGCAGAGGAGTTTCGGCTCCTAAGAATGTATCGACTCTAAGGATTAAGGGAAGGTGGAAAAGTAAACTGCTTTTCCTTTGATAGCCACCCGTGTCACCTGTAATAGCTAATAATAAAAGGCCATCTGTTCGTTTTGTGCTGGTGGCGTGATCACATCTCGCAGGGCGCGGGGTTTTAGGCAAACGAGGAGAGAGCCGGCGAGTAGAAATATTTGCATCACGTACGCAGATAACGCCGCGTATCTCTTGTATAATGCCGCGTTCTTATGGACGCTGAATGGGTATTACGGCCTCCCCACACCCTCAATCGCTCGCTCTGTACATAATATGCGTCTGTGTGTATAAACCGGTCCAGCAACACATTATTATTATTATTATTATTATTATTATTATTATTATTATTATTATTATTACCCATATTAATGTCAGATCTGTTTTAAAAGGGACAATTTGAAGGCAGTGCTTCTCGGAATAGGCAAAAAGTATGTTTTCTTACATGGGGAGAATTGAAACGACGTTAAAGATCGATAAAATGATTTTTTGGGGGGGAGATTGATAGACCCCCCCTCTCCGTTTCCGGATATTTCTTTTTTTCCCCCTTCTTTTTTGAACTATGGGGAGCATCGAAAAAGCAGGCTTTCCGCTATCAACTGGAAATGGGAAAGAGAGGCTCTCGGAGATGAAATAAAGCTTATACATAAAATGGAAGTCCATATGCATGCCTATGCTGGGGAATGGGATCAAGCTCTATTGAAAACTTTTATCTTAAAGATGAAATCGCTTAGTTCGGGAAAGGAGAGGAGGAGGGTAAGAAGCGACTAGAGAACAAAACTCTGGATTAGGGGGCGAGATATGTGGCGGAAAGCAAGTGGCACCTTCCCTTTGGAGTCGCCGTGCGAAGTAATTGAAGGTGTGTGATTTCACAGATGCTTGTAGTGCTACTTTGCTAATTTAGGAACTGGCTCTCATTTGGACCGAGCTGATCAGAGAAAAGGAGTTTGTGTAGGAAGTAGCTCTGATCTCTTGACAACTGTCACGTTTACCTGGGCAAGGCAGACTCGCAAAACTTTCCAACTTTTGGAGTTGTTCTCGGGCTCTGAATACCTAAGAAGGCTCGATCATCAGTTGCGCGCATCTGCTTTCCTCCTCCTTAGGAAGTGGGGGTGAGGAGTGCATGTGAGGGATCGGAGTTCAGGGTTTTTTGTTTTGGGGGGATTTTTTTTTTTCAACGGGTTAAGAAGCCCTCGTGAGTGTGTGGTGAAGACACACAGGTTTGTTTTTTTTTCCAGCCATCCTACAGGGAATCAGAGTTGAGCCAACGGCGCTCCCGCTGAGTAGGGCGAAGGAGAGAGAGGTAGGCAAAAAACAAGGCTCACCTCTCCATTGAAGTTACTCCGGGGGCACTTTCCTCCCTGAGGGATCGGTATTCTTTATCACCTGTAGGCGAAGCCCCCGGCGCGTCTCAGGTGCTGAGCCGGCAAAAGTGGAGTCAGTGGCGGTGGAGGTGTGTGTGTGTGTGTGTGATGCTCTTTTAGCAGCTTACTAAGGAGAAGCGCGGGAACTGGCCGCTTCTTGCAAGAGCTCAGCCCAGAAAAAAAAAAGGAGGAGGGGGAATGAGAAACTCCTCCGCGCTTCGCTCAGCGGGAAGAGGAAGCACAGCGTGGGTGGAAAAAAAAATGGCTTTCGGACACTTGGAGGTGAGATGCTGCTCTCCCTTTTAACGGGAGGCGTAGCCAGGTGAGGCTAGGACTCCCTCCCTTCCTCGCCCCCTCCCACCAGGGAGATACATCCTTTCTTGTCTGCTTTCTCTTTGAGAAAATAAGGTCTCCTGTGACTGGGTTTGTGGACTGGGGTCCCTTCATTATGTAGGCAGACTTCATTCTTCTTTTAGAAGTTCTGTTAACTGACATTGGCACCTTGAGGCCTAAGTGGGGGAAATTAGTAATAAGGAAGGGTTTCAGGCCACATGCAAAGTGACACTCGCTCACTCCCCAAGGAATTTTGAAAGGCATCCCTGCTGCTCTTTAAGCAAATTCTCAGAGGTGGAGTGTGTGACACTTTAGGTCTCAGGGAATCTGAGATTTCTTCCTGTCCAGACCACTAGCCACCATCTGCCCCCTGCGTAAGATAAAGGCATGCATGACCCAAAACAGATTATATGGCTTCCCCTCAGTTTTCAGTCACTGAAACTAAACTAACAGAGGGGAGGGGAGGGCACTATGCTTTCCTGAGAAAATTAAGCATCTGTCTAACATGTTGGGTTATTCTGTTGCACTGTGCCTTTTCTGCTTGTTTTGTCAGGGGAGGGGGGGAAAAACTGTTATCTTCCCTTTTTAGGAAATCAGCATAATAAAAGAATACGTTGCTTTAGAGTTCTAGTGGCATTTTGAGATCCTGTCATCTGATTTTTTTAAGTATGTTTCCTGTTGGTGCAAGTGTGTGATGCAGATTTGATAGGATTTATTTCCCCCCCCCCTTTCCATTTTCAGATAATGACTTGGTTTGAGTCAAAAGGTGTCTCTTTTGAAAAGAAAAAAGTTCTGCTTACAACCCTTAGCAGAAACTTTAAGGAACTTCATGTCAAGAATAAACAAAAGGATCAAGAGAAAGTTGCTGCTCATCTTTCAGTATCATAGAAGAGAGTTCTCCTAACTTTTTCTCAGCACACATTGATACTATTAAAATTATGGTTTTGCATGTTCAGGAAGATTTTTTAAAAAACTTTTTATTTTTCACTTTTTAAGTTTTGGAATTGATTTGAGTACTATGTATGTGTAAAATATTTTTAAAATGCAATTGCTCTTCAGTCTGTTTTAAGGGCATGGAGTGGTTAAATATGTAGAATAACCTTTTTTAGCTGAATTTATTAGCCTGGTTTTTGATTAGCAACTCAATACAGAACTCTCTTATCAATTTTTTTTAGAAACTATTAACACCATAGAAGGAATCCCTTAGTTATCTGGATTAATTAGTGGTATAATTATGTAGAAATGATGCTTTTTATATGAAACCTAACTTCCTTCACTGAGAAAGCGTAAAATTATATCAAAGGTACACATGAGATTTTCTCAGTATGTTTTCACAGTATGTAAGACTGCAACCCTTTATGCCTATTTGCAAATACTATTGAAATCACTGTAACTCTTAACTTTCATATGCACATGTGATCAGGCTATGCACATAATCCTCTTTAACTATATTATAATTGTTAGAATATTATAAAATTAATTCTTAAGAAATCATTCTTGAATATTCTGATTATTATTATTATTATTATCAAGTTTGTTTTATATAGGGACAGGGTCAAATGTTACAATTACAAAAAGTATTTTAAATTTAAAACAGAGCATCTATTTGTGCAAAGTGTTGATAGAATTTATTACTAACTAGTACAAAGTGTTGGTAGAATTTATTACTAACTAAACATAGATGCATATGTTTTATATTAAGTTGTTAATTGAAATATTTTTTCTTAGTATAGTAGGTGAGAAAATGTATGATAACAAAGCAATGAATAAATATCAGATTACTATAAATGCTTCCCAAAATGATGTTGAAAATAATTTTTTAATTATTAATCCAATTGTTAGCAGTTTCAGCACCTACCAACAGCTTGGGACATCTTACAAAACAACACAAGTAATCTGTCCACAAAGTTTTACAGTTTTGTTTAGATGCATTCTTTGCTGAATAAGTGTGAAAATTGAATATTGTTACTGATATACCAACCCTTTTATCTTTATGTTATAAACTGGAGTAAAAGTCAGAAAAACTGTTGCATTTCTGTCATAAGTACATACATAAGTACGTATGAAATTTGTGGCATGAAATAAAGGTTGAATAGATTTCATATTAAAAAAGTTACTATTATAAAGGCATTACAGTATAAAGGAGATTCCTGCCATTTCCTTTAACTCTTTGATTTATATTACCTACTAAAGTATCCTTGTGAAATCAATCACTGATTTCAGTATTTTCAACCAGCTGCTAATTTCTTCTTGAATAAAAACATGGAGGCAAAGTAGTTTAATGCCCTTAGTTTACACACAATCAGCATGAGAGTACAATTCTTAAAATACTTTTAATACATAGATATTTTTTCTTTCAGTAATATTGCTGGATTCTAAAGCACAACAGACAGATTTGGAATGGATTTCTTCTCCTCCCAATGGGGTAAGCATACCATTTAAATCAAAATCCAAAATCAGAATGAATAGTTTAAACGAACTTGTTCAAAATTCCTTGAATTAAACTTTCGATGAAAAAAATTCTGTTCTGAAAAGCATTGTGATTCCGATACAAACTAATATAGATATTTTCTTAGCTGTTAAATGCCTTAAACTGCAGCATATCTCAAAGAACTTTTTAAAACCATGAGTAATATTTCAATTTTCATTCTTAAAAACAACTTTACTGATCATAATGTTGAATATTATTTGCATCATTCTATGTAATTAATGTATAAATATATTCTATTAATGCATTATAATTAATATTTCAGGTACTTAATCATTCTTGTCAAGTTTCTAAATGCAAGACCAATTTTGCTGGCTTTAAGGCAGAAATTTGTATCTTTAATTCACATTTTTTTCAAAGCAAGGTTATCTTGTTGATTTCTGAAAATATCCTTATAAACAATTGTTTCATTATTGATTTAAATAATTAACTTTCAGACCTCATTTGGAACTCATTTACTCTTAGGCTTCAGTTCTTAATATGGTAAAAATATTTGTAAGACCCTTGTAGTGAAAGGACAGAGCAAAATTTTGAATAATATATAATTATTTCAAAGATTATTTAAGTAGCTATGACGTGACTGAATACATTAACTTTAGAAACTGCAATCAAATAAGTATTTATTTTCTAAATTTTCTCTGAAGCTTGATTATTTTAAATGGATTTCTACTGCCTATCATTTAGAGTAGTTCATATTAATACAAGTTTCAAATAAAAGTTTATACAATCAAGCCTTTAATCTGGCACTTATAAGGAAATCTGGAACCAAAAGAAAGTGAATTCTGAGTAGGGATGTAGAAGTGTGACAAATCCTGTAAATAAAAAGAATGAAAACTTGAAAGTCTGTTAACTAAAAAGAAAGATCATAAAATCAATCCAGGCAATGGCTGGAAACAAATCTAATGGTTTTTGGAACGTATGAAATGTTAGCTGAATGCTTAAAATGAGAATTAACTTAAGTAGTAGCACTTCACACTGAAGGAAATCTTTTAAGAAGAGGATTAGAACAATTTTAGAATAAATTGTGATAGTCCAACTTTGAAACAATAAAAACATGTGCATGGTTCAGAGAGAGGGAGATAAAAACATCAAACAGTAATCCAAATATAACTCAAGGATGGGCAGTGCCTGAGAGTTGACAATTGTAATATACTGTATTGTATATGTATTGTATACATAAAAATGTAATATACTTTTGGGTGACCAAAATGATGCAATGATAGGAGTAGTAAAACCACTGGGGTTTTTCCTCCCGGGTTTTTTGTTGAAATTTAGTACAAGTTTATTGATATTTTTTTTTAAAAAAAAAACTATTTTAAAATATTAAATTTCTTATAATACTTTCCCCATAGTTTGGTAACATTTATTTATTGACAAGAAACCACATTGATTCAACCTCATTGATTCCCAGCAACTCTAATAATTTGGTTGTGGGAGTTGTAGAAGATTTAGAAGGCTTCCATTCATCCAAGACATATACTATACAGGCAACAGTTACTGACTGTTTAGATTACACTTACAAATATGTCCTATTAAAAATCAATGATCTGATTAATGATTTGTTTTAATATGCTTTCCATAAATAATACAGCTCAGTAAAGAGTCTCTAATATATCTTTAACATGTAAACACTGTGTATTGTGCTTAAGAAGGCTTTCCTTTTATAGTTGCACTCCTTGATTTATTAATAGTTAAGTGACAAGTAAGAATGAGCATAGTTTTAATGCCTATCATAGTTTTAATGCCTATCATAGTTTATTAATTATTAAGAAATAGGGATTAATGTCTACAACACTTAGTTCTTTCCCTGTCCTGGTACTGATGTTGCCTTTGTTTTCTTTTCTGGCGTCAAGTACAACTGTATTTGATCAATAATGATTAATCAGTAGTGGTTAAAGTTAGGATTATGAAAGTATTTCATATAATTTAGTGAAGAGAGAACCTGGAAATACTGTCAGTGCTTATGTAAATGTTGTGATGGCAGTAATGGCATTAAGCTTGAATTACAGGTACAGAGTCCTAAATAATCAACTGAACTTGCAAGGCATGTAATGTTTACGATACAACGTAAAATTTACCAAACATTTTTTTATTATTATGCTTGTCAATTTTCAGTGGTATATCAGATAGCAACGATCGAGCTTAATATCAGCAAAACGTTTGTAAATATAATTAAATTGAACTCTAGATTCATATAGCTATTTTGAAAACTAGCCACATTAGTGGTTTAATATTTGCCATCTTTGGTAATGCAACTTCAGTTTGTTTATATTAGAATGACATATATTGAAGATTTGAGATTTACTTGAGTAAATTTGAAATATAAAACTGATTCTAATGTCAGTTAAAATTATTATATTTTATTTGAAAATAGATTATTTCAGTTTAAAAAGTTTAGTCATGTTACATATAACTTATCCGAAATGTTATGATTGTGCAGTGGCTCATCTAAGATGGCATTTCATAATTTCAGGCTGTTTCAGGAAAAAATAGTTATAAAAGTGAATTATAGGAACATTTTTTTTTCCACGTGAATTTGCTAAAAAATTACCAAGGTTCAATTACATATTTCTTCTTCACATTTTGGACCAATTACTTTTATTAAGATTGAGAGTAATTTTACTTATGAACCAATAATCTTATTACTGTTTATTTCTTCCTTTAGGAAAAAAAAATAGCTGTACTATATTCAGTTATGTTCCTGTAATGTCAGAACATTCTATAGTGGGCACCGGGTGGGGCTGGAGTGAGAGAGAGAAAAAGAAAATTTTGTTCCATGAACTCAATTTATGTAAAGGTTTACATGAATCCATTTAAGTGGAAATAATATGGACCAGGAAGCTGAATGAGTCAGTTGAATGACAAAACAAACAAACAAACAAACCTCATGAATCAATAATTTAAATATTGGCTAGTAAATAAAATAGATAAATAGAGAATAAAACAGTTAAATCAGAAATGGCTGTCTTTGTGGTTAAGAGTTTATGTGAAAATTTACTGTTTAGTTTTTTTTCTAAGGGGAAAAACAAAATTACATTTTTTTAAAAAAAGAAACTTGATAACTGTTTGATTTGACGTGAATGTAAAATTTCTGACATTACAGTTAGAATATCACATTTCTTGCACATAAGAGAATATTTTGAGGGTACATTATTTTCATATATGGGCCTGGTGGCTCAGCAGACTAAAAGCATTGTGATTAACACCAGCTGCCTGCAATTACTGCAAGTTCAAATCTCACCAGGCTCAAGGTTGACTCAGCCTTCCATCCTTTCTAAGGTAGGTTAAATGAGGACCCAGTTTGTGGGGGCAATAAGCTGACTTTGTATAAATATACAAAAGTATGAAGGCTATTGCTTAATGCATTGTAAGCCGCCCTGAGTCTCTGGAGAAGGGTGGCATATAAATCAAATTTAAAAAAATAAAAAAATATATATCTCAAATTGATGCAATAGAAAACATTCATTGATAGAATTTTATGTATGTAGGTACACACGTTGGTCAAAGGCTCCAATAAAATTTACCATTCCGTTTGATCAACGTGGAATCCTATTGTTTTTGGACCTGGCCAGTAGAATTCCCTGTGATATTTTTCTCTCTACCAAATGGATTTAAATTTTAGTTCTTATAAAATACAGTCGAGTTTTTAAACAACCCTTCTTAAGAAGCAGGTGGAAAATGAAATAAATTTTCATATGTTAAACCACTTATTTTTGTCCTGGCCCTATGTAGCAATAATAGTTTATCTCAATATTAGAATGCAAGCCATTGTTTTGAGAATTGGTAATGCAATATTTTGGAAGTTCTTCCACATTGACCATACTGCTGTCTATGCAGTATGCTAATTTCATGTTTTTAACATTTTACTTTATTTACAGTCTTTTTGTAGGGTGAATAGATACAGTGGTCACCATATTGGTTGTTCACACTAGAATTAACATTTCAAATTAGGGATGCTTAATACTTGCCACTGTTACATCTGCTCTCTGCCTATAAATTTATTCTATTAGGCATTGGATCATATCATTCCCTTCCATTTTTAAATAGTTCCTCATTCCATGCTAAAAAATTGTAAGCTGTTAAAACATATGCTCTGGTTACTAGTGGTCGGGGGGGGGGAAACATGATGGTACATAATCTTGTATTATATTTATTATCTAATTTTTCTCTATTAGAAAAGTTTATCTCAGTATGGATAACTATGCCTTTATGTTCCAGTGGGAAGAAATCAGTGGACTGGATGAAAACTACACACCTATACGAACATACCAGGTATGCCAAGTCATGGAACCCAACCAAAATAATTGGCTGCGGACTAACTGGATCACGAAAGGCAATGCACAAAGGATTTTTGTAGAACTAAAATTCACTCTGAGGGATTGTAATAGCCTTCCTGGAGTCCTCGGGACATGTAAAGAAACGTTCAACTTGCATTATTATGAAACAGACTATGACACTGGAAGGAGTATCCGAGAAAGCCAATATGTAAAAATAGACACTATTGCGGCTGATGAAAGCTTTACCCAAGGTGACCTTGGGGAGAGAAAAATGAAACTCAATACAGAAGTGAGAGAGATTGGACCTCTGTCCAAAAAAGGATTCTACCTTGCATTTCAGGATGTAGGGGCTTGCATTGCTCTGGTTTCTGTCAAAGTGTACTATAAGAAGTGCTGGTCCATTATTGAGAACTTAGCGATTTTTCCAGACACAGTAACTGGGTCAGAGTTCTCCTCCTTAGTTGAGGTCCGAGGAACCTGTGTCAGTAGTGCCGAAGAAGAAGCAGAAAACTCTCCTAGAATGCATTGTAGTGCAGAAGGAGAATGGTTAGTGCCAATTGGGAAGTGTATCTGCAAAGCTGGCTTCCAACAAAAAGGAGACACGTGCGAACGTAAGTAAAAAACGTATTTACGTAGTTACTTTTTTTTTTTTTTACTGTTTTTAACAAATGCCTCTTTAATGGAAGTGTTGCCTTACTTAATTCATAGAAGCCAGAAATTAGAGTCTGACACTAAAGAAACAAATTCTGTTCGGGAATGGAAATCAATAATTGGATGTTGCATTTAGAAAAGCCATTAAAGTAACTGTCAAACTAAACAGTAGTTTACCTTTCCTAATGCTATTACATACAAGCAGTTACATAACATTTTATAAGAGAGAGGCCAAAAAAGCTATTTAGTACTTAATGATTCTTTAAAATAACACTTGAGAAAAATGTGTCTTGCAGAGAGGGTATCATTAATAATCCAAGGATTACTGTTCTTGCAATATATTCAGTAGCTAATTTGGGAAACTGTGCGGAAAGTTTTAAAAATATAATGCGTTTCTGATTAACATACTGAAAAGCAGTTCAGACTGTAGTATTGATAGGAAAGCTAAGGATATGTGGAATATTTCTTTTTAAAAAGGAAAAAGAACACAATAAATAGTTTCTTTAAACTGAAATCTTGGAATAGAAATATCTGAAATCTTGGAATAGAGCTCAGGGCTGAAAACAGGCAGCAGGAGAATAGAATAGAAAACAGGCAAGCATACTTGTTTTTCCCCTTTTACAGTCTGCAGCCCTTGACATTCTGTAAAAGTTTAGATGATTTCCAGAACAGATTTTGAATTAAGATTTAGGAATTGCAAAATATATAAAAGCATACTTTCTTTTCATCTGCAAAACTGTTTCTAGTGGAACCAAATTATTGGATCCTTCTCTTGATCTTGAAGAAGGAGATAGAATTTGATCTGAAAGACTATTTTCAGAAATTAGGTATCTCACAAGTTGTGTATAGATACTATTTGTCAAGGACTGACAAAATGTTGACTTTGTGTGGGCAACGGGCACAAATATACCTTTTTAGAATAAACATTCTGCTTTATTAGATAGGCTGGGGGCTGAGGGGGTATTTCCAAGAAATACTTAACGAAATTGACTATATAATAATGGGTTTGATTAGTGTTGTCATGTATGATTTTCTCTTTTTGTAAAGAGAAATTTAATTTACATTAAAACATCAATTTGATAACTTCTGAAAGTCATAGACAGCTGGGGTCTTGGCTTTTGAACTTCTGACAAAGAGTTATGGTTATCGACAATGAAAAATAGATGTTTCATTAGCTATTTACCATTTGGTCTGACTGGAGGAGACAAGTAGGGCATTTTCAGTGAAAATATCTGTCATGAAACATATATTTTCTCTGACATATGTATAGTCCTCTTTTAGCGACCACAATTAGGATCAGCAACTTGCTAAGTGAAATTGTAACACTGTTTATGACCTTATTTCAGCTTTTCTTTGTTTTATAGACCAGCAAAGGTCATAAAATGCAAGGATTGATAATAAAATTTACTTTTTCATCACTACTGTAACTGCAAATGGTAGCAACTGCAAATAAACAAAGCAGTTGCTAAATGAGGACTTCCTGGACTGCTGCTGTCTTTCTTCATTCTTGCTTTTCAAGCCCAAACAAATCTGTTAGCATTGGGTAACAGCTAAATATTAAAAAGGATATTTCAAATATTGAAAAGCTACCTGTGCAAATTAGTTCAATGTCTACATCTTGATTCTGCTTAAAACACTTGCATAATGCTGTGTGTTCATCAGATTTCATGATGAGAGTTAGGTTTTCCCACCCAATCTTTAATCTTTTTTTAAAACTGATTTTGCAGTGATCAAAATAATGTATAATGACACTTTAAACGTTATTGTTTAGGAGAACTTGTTAGAATTAAAAGTTAAAACAGAAGATTGATGGAGATACAGCTGTTATGATTAGAATTCAAGTAAATTGTTTATTAAGTAGGGTTCTTAATTTTAAACTTCAGTGATGTCAACTGAAGCATTAAATGATAACTTGCAGTTGAGTGTCTCTCTTGTGTTCATTTTGTAAGAATACGTCTCATGCCGGCTGACTGCCAGAGAAACTGCTAAAAGAATATATTTTGTTGGAAGTGTTCCAGAATCGAGGGAGACAGGGAGTTCTATCATTTCTGTTCTTTCAAAACCTGTTCTTGGTGAAAGTTTCAAAATGAAGTTTTATTTTACATTTGTTGTGAGAAATGCATGATTAGTAATTACTACCTATATTAAAAAAATGTAAGCTGACTAAAGTTTGAGGCACATATCTTTCATTAATTCCTTGGCTCTGATAACTTAGGACTTTCTCAGTGATAGCATTAATGTTTAAACAGGTGGTGACAAATGGATGCTATATAATGATAGCATTCATGGTGAAACTGGTAGTTCGAGACAATCATGGGATCAAATTTGTTATAAACCTAATCCTACTATTAATTCAGTGGAATATTTTGTTTTCGTCAGACTTTGTAGAACAACCCAAAATCAAATTATTCTGTGATTTTTTAAAGTCTTTAATTGATTTGTAAGCTTTGCATTTGATGTATAATATTTTCACTCTCATATAAAATATTTATGGATCATGTAAAAATGAATGTTTGCACTGTAGTTCGGTGCAAAATGTAGTTTTGACATTTTAATTTCCATATGCATTTACCCAGATCTACATATATTTCAAAGCAGCTTTTTGAATTTGCAAAATTAATAATCTATTCCCAGAAAAAAAACCCCACACACCCAAAGAGCCTGATTTAACCTCCTCCTCCTCCTGAAAAGAGTAATTAATATCTAACTTTTGATGTTGCAAAATGTAATATTGTCCCTGATCCTAGACGAAGGATTACAAAAGAAAACCTTTTCTTTGTAATTTCCTTTTATGAATTAGCTAATTAAGTAAAATGAGGTCTAAAACTCAAGTACATTTCAGTAGATGATGTGTGTGTGTGTTTAGGATAGTTGTTCAGAGAATTAGTTTTGTAATACTCTTTAAATATTTATAAATTGCAGATTACCAAATATCCTAAGGCAGTTTCTAAACAATATGAATAATATCAAACTAAAATATAAAATATATTTTAAACTCCTGGTTAAAAAGCATATTTTCAAAGTTTAATGGAAAACTTTGTTAAAGGCTTAAAACAGCATTAATTGCCATGTTTTCTAAAGGAAATTGATCCTTTAGCAAAGAAGTAACAGCTAAAATTACATGAGTCCAACCTGTCTCCATAAAAAGTAAAAAGCAAAGGTGTGGAGCATTAATACATAGTAAGAGATAAAGATTGAGCAGATATTAATGTACTGAGGCAGCTCAGATGTAACATTTTATCTCCACGGTTTTGTATGTCACTAGAATCAACATCAGATGTTAATGTTGCTACAGTATACTTTTTCAGGGTGCTTTTGTGCTATATAAATCATTGCTGGGTACAGTGTATTACAGTATGCAGATATAGAGAGCATTAGCTTGTGCACCACAGCATTTACACAAATTTAACCATTTTGCATATAAAACATTGTGAGATAAAACTTAAATTTCGCATTCACTGAAAGTATTAACTGAACGTATTGAAGAGAGTATATATTCAGAAAGGAGAATTTTTCTATCTTTGATTTTTCTATCAAAATGCAACTTCTGATATACATTCCATTATATTAATTGTACTGTTTTGTCTCTTGCATTGTATTAGTTATACCTTTTAAGGGCTTTAATGGCCAAGTACGTATAAGCTATACATGGGGATAATTATGGAAAAAATTGCAGAAATTTCTTTTCAAATGGAAAATAGAATTTGTTGTTTAGTATTGCGTCTATCTAATAAGGCATGCACTCTAATTTCTTTTGCTTTTGCCCAGTCACTACAGTATGTCTCCCTCCTCTCTGTCTCTTTTAATCAATGGGTTGGAAAGAAATGGCACGATTAAAATAGAAGGAGCCTTCCTAATATGAATAGTTTAAGTAAGATAGACATATTTCTGTTATTGATAATAATAGTGTTTCCGGTGTTTCTACCAGTTCTACTCACTGGTAGAATTCTCATTGTACTATATCCGTGATGGTGAACCTATGGCACGTGTGCCAGAAGTGGCACGCAGAGCCCTCTCTGTGGGCACGCATGCCGTCGCCAGCTGCTCTTCTGGTTTCCAGTACGCACATTCATGCTGGCCAGCTGATCTTCATTTGTGCCGGAGCGCCGTAAACCTGAAGACCAGGTGGCCAGTGCCCCCATGGTCTTTGGGTTTACGGTGCTTTGGTGTGCGTGTGCACATGCATGTGCGCACATTCTGCTTTCGGCACTCAGTGCCGAAATGGTTCGCCATCACTGTACTATATTCTATAATATATAATTAACGTAAAAATATAATTAATGAATTGTTTTTCTTGTGTGAGTAAAAAACCCGATACTCCATTCTTTTGTTACTTAAAAATGAAAATAATATCAAATTGCTCATACACAGTTATAAAATACTAGATTTTTCATGACCCATTGGGTCATTGTTTTAGTTGTATCATCATTTTACAGATAATTACTTACCTACACAGATCAACAGAATGACTGTGGGTAGCAAAAAAGCAGTAGAGGAGACAGCAATTTCAATATTTCTTCTGGCTTCCCTACTGACTTTTCTTGTGGAAAGCTTGTAGGGAGGGAGTCAATGGAGAAACTGACAGGGAAAATCACAACATGCTTGGATAAGTCTCCCCCACCCAGGCGCTATCCCTCCAATCTCTCTGTGCACATGCCATATTGGCACTTGCATATCCCTGTGCACCTTCTCCAATCTATACAACAACTTTGTGCACCCTCCCTCACCTACGCTGCATTCTTGTTCACTCTCCCGACTTATGTCTTTGTGATCTTGCCCAACTTCTCTACCCTTGTACACCATCCCTGACCCATGCCACATCTCTCAGGCATCCTCTTACTTCCCCACCACTTAGTTGCCTGCTGGACTTGGACTTGTAACTTCCTGCCAGCTTCCCCATTGACTTTGTACTTTGCTTGGGGAAAACGGAGTCACCACAGTAGTACATTGGTGTTGGTGG